CCGTTAGCACAGGAACGTGCACTTATGCTCAGAGTTCTGTTTAAATAAAAAGGCTTGTTTAAACCTTTTCAAATCTCTGTAGTTACCTCAGATATAACGATAATTCACTTTACGTCTGTTAGAAATTTGGAAATAGTTTATGCTCCCAAAGCAAGCCAAACTCTATAATTGTGACAATCATAGTTTAAAACTCATTGCCAGTTAGTTTTAATTTCCGTGCATCTTCAGGATATTCATTCAGAGCAGAGATCTGTGCAAACTGACTGGCTCCATTTTGAGTTTCTCTTCCAGTTTAAGCAGTATGGTTTAGAAGTTGTTGTGTTGTGACTTATCTCACTTGTCTGATAGTCACAAGAAGAAAAAGTCGACGAAATTCGTCATGGCAAGCAGAGGAAGATTGCGCCTGTCGTTGGCAAGAGCCTTGAGCACCGTACAAGTGACAGTACTACGTCGCTCAGTTCCGCCTTCAATTTTGACGGAGAGCACCTCGGGGACACAGGTCCGACGGTCTTCCGTTCCCCCTCTTCCCCTACCAGAACTCTCGCGAGATGACTTTCGGCTCGCCATGTATTTAAAGTGCCCCAATTTCCCAAAGACATAATGCATTTACAAGCAACCAAGCCTAGCGCACCGTGTTGCTGTCTCGTTGACTGTGAGAGCCGACTGCAATAACATTTGAAAAACTGCCGAGAAGTTTGGCTGAAGTTGTTAAGAAAAATTACAATTCTGAAGCCAAGTGTTTGTAGATTTGAGCTAAAATACTGTTTGTACCAATTCGGAATCTTCGCATAAAAATAAGTGGCCTGTAAATCGTACTCAGTGACTTTAGATTCTTGCTACTCATAAGTTTTACAACATCGACTAATAGTGGCGAAATAAAGTTCTGTTTACGTTTTGTATATGAATTATATATCCTTTGTTTTAGTAGCGTCAGGGCGATAACTTATGTAAGAAGTACTGAAGTAACTATTTGAAGGTATTGAAGTAATTTTTATGAGAGCCTCTGGATGTTAACGGCAAATTTTATTTCTCACCTCAGAAGTTATATTTGCAAGGAATTATCGCATTTCTCCAAGCGTGCTTTCATGATGTAAGTGGTTAGTACATTCTGCTAACAAGTGGAAGATCCTGCTAGCAAGTGCTTCAAATTCTGGTGACAAGATCGATTCTTCATGTCTCCTGTTTCGAAAAACCTAACGGTCGTTATAGTGGCAACCGAAACTAAAATGGTGTGGGCGATAAATCGTCATCACCTAAACTGAGTCGACTAGATCTCGCCCTCTTCCCATTCGCTCGTCTTGTTCTCCTCTATGCATGCTTTGGTTATGCAAATGATTCAAACATCCAGCTAGCAAGTGAAAGATCTGTGATTCGAATCCAAACCAGGACTCAATCGATTTGTCAAGGTCTAGGACTTTCCGCCGTTGCCCTTTCGCCGAAAGGACAATCCGTCGGCAGTGGGCTATTTTGCCGTCAAGTAGAAATGAAATACGTAACACAGATTGCTTATAATATACATCATTAAGTATTTACAGTATGGGATATAAATAAATGGCATATAATTAGTTAGAAAGTTTTGTCAGTATCAAAAACAACGAATTTATCATATTTCATAATTATGAGCTAAATCTCCGAGACATTCTGTCATATTATTTTTTTTTAATTATGCAGATACACTCTCGGTACGATTTGTCAAAATTTTTTGAAATTTTAATCAGCCAATTCAAAGAATCATTCCTACAAGCTGGAAATTCCCATTTTTATGAAATCATAATTGAAATAGAATTACTTTGGAATTTTGCTAGCACATTAATCTCTTAAAATTAATAAATATGTAGATAGATGCACAAATTAATTACTTTTTATGTCATGCGTAACTATATATTCGTATAAAATTGCATACAAAAGCATTTTAGATATTATTTCCTAGTATAAGGTTTTAATACTAGGAACGTGCTGAAATCTAAATGTTAACGAACTATCTAATTCTCTGAATGACAAAAGTTTAAGAAGATGTTTTTCCATAATTTGATTGTAAAGCAATTTTTGCATGCGATTTGTTTTAAAATACTTGAAAGAAATTGAATTTTAATATTGTTGAAATTTAATTCGGTGTGACACTAAGAGTTTTGGCGTAGTGTGAAACTTAGTTCCTTACCAAAACAGCATACGGGATGGAAGTTAAACATGAACTTTAATGGGGCTTTCTTTGAGTTTAACAAAACCGATGATCAGGATATATCAACCTATGACATATGAGGAATAAACGTAACATGAAAAAGACGGGATTGGGATAACGTGTAATTAACTTGACTGGTATATCAACATACACTTGGCTACAAATTTCCGTAGGATACTTCATATAAATGCTGTCTGGGACATCCGGCTAGAATCCTATTTCCGATATAATCTGCGACAACTCATTTCCAAGTTAGAATTCCATACATCAGATAACGGCACTATGCTGAAGAGAATTACGGCTATTGACCACTTCGATAACCAGGACGACCAAGAAATGTGTGTGTGAGAGGAAAAGCAGTCTTCTCTCATCACACACATTCTTCGTTTCTTCAGCAGAAATATATAGCGTTGAACTTCACGCATCTTCAGTGCTGAGCACCCGCAAAGGAGAATGTTAATTTCCCAACAAATATGATATAAATAAGTAAATAAATGAATAAATAAATATTTAAAAAATTTTAAAAATAAAAATCTGAGAGGTTTCAGATTTTAAATTACGTCCAAAGGGAAGTTTTTTTTAACATTTTGTGTGTTACCTTTATTTATTAAATATCATGTTCTTCGCACTTAAACCATAAAACAAAATAATTTTAAAATGAGCATATCTTTAGAATTTCCGATACGGTCTCGCGCGCTGGAGATAAAAATGTTTTTTTCTGTACAACGTTGCCATTGCTCGCTTTGAAATCCTTCAGTTTATTAATAACAAATTCGTTAAAGTTTACAAAATATGAAATCGATAATAAAACAAATTCCAAATTTCAAATTTGGGCTTCCATATGCCCATATTGGCAGGATTACGTCATTCAAAAATTGATGGCTCTAGGTACCGTTGTTTTATCACAATGCGAGAAATATACTACATACATTTATGCAGATTCATCATTATTTGATTTCTTTAAATATAATACAGGGCGATAATATTTGGTGCAACAGTTTGAAAAGTGAAACAACTCTTATAGTGAATCATCGCAAAATGCCCAAACGAAATTAATAGTCCTTCTGGGCAAATTACCCCTTTGGACTAATAATGTTTTTTAATTATATAAAGACAATACCCCTTAAATGTTATTTTAAAAATGGTCTATTTACTTTGAAGTCAGAATTAATTTTCTTTTTATTACAAATGCTACATTATATTATGTGTGATTTTGTAATATTATGCTCCGTTTCATTATCGCTTTTCGCTTTTAATTTTTTAATTATATTATTTTTCATCTTAATTATGAATGCTTTAATTTTTGATTTGAATTTAACTAATTATCGCATATCATTAATGAATTTATTATTTTATCAATTCTAGATGATGTTTTTAATTACAAAAGTTTTCCTTTTTTAAAATTTAACACAGCCAGAAGTATTCAATAGGTAAACAAATAGATATCATACAGTCTTGTAAAACAAATATGTCTTGACGGTGATTTTGCCCAATGGTGAACTGGCCCAGAAACGAAATGGTATGACGGCGAAGCGGCAGTGTCGAAAGGCGGCGGTGAATAATTTTTCATGTCTCCTTTTCCATCGTTCGTTAATGTTAATAGTCTCTAAATATTTATTTACATACGAAAAGTGCTTCAAATTATTATCAAAATATTTTTTAAAAAATATTTTGAGTACATTTATCATCTTTAAAATCGTGAATGGTTGAACTTTAAGAAGAGCATGTCATTAATTTGCCTCATCTTGCTATGTTCACTTCAGATATTGAACTGTTAATATATTTTGCTAAACAAATAATAATTTCCAAATGCAGACGATGATTATTGCGATGTATTTTCATTTAAAATAAAAAATCTGACAAGAAAAATTGTTTTCCAAGCACCCCAACAAAACTTTTGAGTGTCCGAATTATTATGTGCGTTCCTGATTAACACTTTTGGAATAAATTGTTTTATTGCAAAGAATATGAAGACATATATTTTGTAACAAACAAGTCTTAATGTAGAGAAAAAATAATATATCAGGAAAACATCTGGAGACTGAGTTTCAATATTTAGTACAAGATCTACGCAAATAAATTTCAAGAAAAAAAGGCTGAACCATTGTAAATATTCCTGAAACATTTTTCTCGTAATCAGTAGATTTTATTCTGGAGCAGACGATAATACAAAATAAACAGAATTATAAAATTTGCAATTATTCATGCAGTTCGAGTAAAATTGTTTAATGCTATATTGAAAAATACAGTATCTTTGCTAGTAATAAAACTAAATAATCACTGTTTCGCTGCAGACAATCGTATGGAATGTTTACTTCTGAGATACAAGCTACAAAATCTCTAGAAATATTCTGCAGAGGAACATTTTTATAATAATGAAGATAAAACGAGAGATACTGAGCGTCAGTGCTTTGCAACAGCGTCTATTTATGACGGTCATAATTTTGTTATGAAATGAAAGCAATAATCATTTCGAATATGTGTTTGAAATATCATCTTTGATCAGGAATTGCGGTAAATTAATTCTATTCTAATCAGCAGGGAAAAACTTCATTTATGAAAGGAATACCTTGAAATTTTTCATTATCCAGAGATTCACAAGAACTGACCTTGCAAAATATTCACTGAGGTTGAGATAAAATAATTTTAAAGCGAATCTTTTCATAAAATACGGAAAAACAATAAATTTCTTTATCCGTTGTGTTACAATGAACCAATGGACGCTTGCTGCTAAATATTGCATCGTGGTAAACAAAGCTCATCTTTTAAAGCCATGTGTGTTCAGATGCACGTCTGGTGCTGTTTTCTCTCCCCCGCTTCTGGCGGAATGACGCATGCGCTCATCGATCGCTCAATCAAATTGTGTAAATATTGCGTTCGCAAAGCGTCTGTATTCCAGAGCGCACCGCCATGGTGAGTAGCATTTCTTCTTTTTCTAACGTTGTAGAGACATGAAATGATAAATTCGCGTTAAACACGCATCATTGTAGACAGTTCAGTAAAACTACCCGAGGAGAAGAGTAGTTACTGGATTGAAAATTTGGGAATGCTATAACAGCAATTATAGAAATGTTGATTAATTATACTGTCTTGAACATTTCAATAATCTAACAGCTTTAAAAACAGGAATATATAAAGCATAGAAGGAAGGTAGATGAATGCAGGAACAATAGGGAATGTCTGGCAATAAAAAAGATAAAAAATTACATGAGTTAAAATTCATCTCGTGTAATAAATATTTTGTTCTGAGAAAATCAGTTTTGTTTTAGATTTTAAATATATGTCAGTTTGTTTTGAGCCGATGCCCTTGTTTCAAACCGAATTACAAAATTTCAAACCTATTCTTTTTTTAAAAAAAAAAAAAATTACGACGAGGAATATTGTCTCCCATCTTACGTGTCGTATCTTTGCTAAAGGAAATTGAGCATTTTGACATTGAGAAATATGTGTATCATATCATATATATTCGTGCATACTTATTATATGTAAAAACCAAATACGATTTCAGAGATTCTAGCTTTTATAAATCAATTTTATTCAAATACAAACCAGCAGGGATATACGTATGCTGGACTCCTCTTATTAAATAAAACTGATGAAGAAAATGTGTTGTCATGTAATAAAGCTTAATTTTTAACCTTAAAGAAATTAAATTTAAATTGTACTTCAGTTTTCAAAATTTGGAATGTTTATTTCTGTATTTCGTTTCTGAGTGTACAAAGGTTTAAATTGAAATGCGTGAAAATGTTAAAAGGACATTAACTTTTATACCAAAATAAATAAAATAAATAAGCCAAGCAATTCTGTATAGCTGTGCTTTATATAAGCTATTAAAAACGAATTTTATGAATTAGTAATGCTACAAATGTTCATAAAAGTTATTTGTACTTATATAAATGAAGCATATTGTTGAAAATCAAGTAAAGGTATAAATCATTGAAAAATAGGTTCATTCCTTTGAAATCGCTTAGGTTTTTAAGCAGTTATAGTAGTTATGAAAAATAAATATGAATGGCAAAACTCTGAAAACAGGCTATGTAATATGTCGCGAATATGCTAGCAGTGAAAGTAGCGTAATTTAATGGTCCCTAAATATTTTTAGCCAAAAAATAAATAAGTAAATAAATAAAAATAAATAAAAAAAATAAATAAATAAAATAAAAAATCTGAAAGGTTTCAGATTTTAAATTATGTCTAAAGGGGCGTTTTTTAAACATTTTGTATGTTACCTTTATTTATTAAATGTCACGTTTTTCGCACTTAGACCATAAAATTCAGTTCAAGAGCAATATCGCAAAATAGTTTTAAATTAAGCATATCTTTAGAATTTCCGATACAGAGTATCGCGCGCTGGAGATAAAAATGTTTTTTCTGTACAACGTTGCCATTGCTCGCTTTGAAATCCTTCAGTTTGTTAATCAAAAAATTCGTTAAAGTTTTACAAAATAGGAAATCGATAATAAAACAAATTCCAAATTTTAAATTTGGGCTTCCACAAGCCCATATTCGCAGTAGGAATACGTCATTCAAAATTCGATGGCTCTATGTACCGTTGTTTTATGACGATGCGAGAAATACACATACACTTATGCAGATTTTTCATTTTTTAATTTCTTCAAATATAATGGAGGACTCTAACATTTAGTGGCAACAGTTTGAAAAGTGAAACGGATATATATATAGTGAACCAACGCAAAACGAAAACAATATTCCTTCAGCGACAAAGCCCCTTTGGACTTAAAAAAAAAAAAAAAAAAAAAAAAATGTAGATGATTGTAATGTACATGTCATTATAAAATTTGATCATTACAGAAATGTTTTATTATGGATTTGGAAACGTGTTTTTTACGTCCGTGTATGAAGTAAAGGCAGTATTGTAATCACGAAAAATTTCGGGTGCCATATTTCAAAGAAAATATCTACTTCAACCGCTCTCAAAACCATCTGAGTGATGTTTTTGCTTGACAGCTGTACGTACGGACAGAAAAAAGGACTGTTTCTGCCGAAAAGAATAGTAAATTGGATTTAAAAAGAATTCAGAAAAGATTCTTTTTCTTAACCTCTGTTCATACATATGTATGTATCTCGTTTAACTAAAGAACAAATATCCGAAGAAAGTTGAAATTTTGTATATAGCACTGCTATAACATGTAGTTGTGCACCTACCTTTTTCATTACAAGCGGCTGCTCCAACCGTATATGTATGTATATATAGTATGTATTCCCACTTTGTTACCTGCCTCGATGAATTAGTTTTTTATTTTAATATATTGGTAAGTTGCATATTTTTTTCCTTAAAAGTGGTTTTTATGTTCCGGTTTAGGTTTTTATGCCTTTAGTTAATCTGCAGGCAATAGTTGTAGAATTATCAACAATTTAAATGTTTAAGTGGCGAGTTAAGCCTAACGAACAGCCATTTCTATACATTTGAAACGCAACAGAATAGTGAATTAAGTCAGTTTCTGTACCTTTAGTGTCTTTACCGATTGGGACCAAAAGTCAACTTTCATTCTTGTGCACCGAAAAATCTGCCTTCTTGCACGCTGACCGAATTGTTTGTTTTCGCGCAGAAAGTAATTTAATGGTAAAAACTGTGTTCTTTTTTTTTTAACTGTTTTAAATGCATTTGGTGTTTTATTTTGTAGAGACATTAGCTTTTTTTTTTTTTTTTCAATCACCACAATAACTTTTTCGTCTTTAAGATATTAAGTTTCAATCCCAAAACATATCCGATAAAGATAAAAGACAACGTTTAAGAGGAAAATTATTTTTTTTAGAAATAAAGATACAAATCTTGGATCGTCTTTTAAAAGGCATCTCACATTGGAAAAAATCTTAATTTGAATGAAGCAACATGTTAAGAAAAATGAACGAAAAGTGCAGTTGGTGCAACATCTTCGACATCCGCAAAACGTGCAGCTCGCCCCCGGGCGCCAATAATTGAGAAGATAGAAAACGCACTCAGCATTTGGACTGATGATAGCAGTCAAAAACGAATATCATTAAACATCAAGCACTCAAAATTTACAAGCAACTTAAAGAACATAGAGAATCCTCTGTCAACCTAGATTTTAGCTTTTTTTTTAAAAAAAAAAAAAAAAAAAAAAAAAAAAGCAGGCAAGATTAAAAATGTGCAACCGCCTTCGCCGGGAATTGAACCACGGACCTCTGGAATACCGGTCCAGTGTTCAGAACGAAGGCACGCTAGGAAGGTGGGAGAAATACCTTATATACTCCCCCTTTTAAAAGGCGACTGGTGTTTTTAAGGGACGAAATCGCCAAATTCTGGATGTGGAGAGTCATCATCCACAACCCTTTTTAGTACGGGCGCCACTGAAGAGTCATTAGGTATTTTTCGGAAGCAGGTAAGATGAACTATTAGCAACCGCTTTCGCCGGGAATTGAACCACGGACCTCTGGAATACCGGCCCAATGAGCAGAACCACTACATCACAAAGGCACGCTAGAAAGGTGGAAGAAATACCTTACAATGTTTTTCTGTACTTTCTAATTTTTAATGAAGATGTTTCGATATTTTATGTATTTTTGCTTTGCCGCCAAGTGAGAACTTAATTAATTCAATTAGAAATATATTTCTACTGAAGTTCGAGGAAATAAGTTGAAACGAAATGCAGCCAAAAAATATTTTATTCCGTACAGAGTTTTCCCACTGCTCGCTTTGAAATCGTTGGGTTTCTTAATCAAAAATTCGTTCAAGTTTAAAAAATATGAAATGGATAGGAAAAGAAATTCGAAATTCAAGATTCGGGAGGATGATTACGTTATATAGGTATCGTCGTTTCCCCCACACATAGTGCGGGGAACATGCATACATACATATTGCAGATTCTTCATTATTTAATTTCTAGAAAAATAATATGGGGCGATAATATTAGGCGGTATCAGTATGAAAAGTGATTCGCCATTTGTAATGAACCGATGCAAAATCCCATTTCGAGACTAATAGCCCTTTTTGGCTAAAAATAAAATTAAATAAAAATAGAATACTATATAAATCGTTATATCTTGAATCAAGTTACAGCGGTATTTACAGCAAATTCCAGATTAAAAAAGTGCGAGTAATTTTTGCGTAAATTGAAATGACTATTAATATAATACGTTTTTCAAAAAATTGTATTTGTTTAAAGAACACTGGATTTATACATATGTATTATGTGATTTAATGTATGTTGTAAAAATGTTTGTGTATAAAAATATAGTTTCAATGAAACTTCACAAATTTACTGCAGAAACTGTGGCCATACTATGATAAGGTGTCAAATATTAAGAATCAAGTCTTATTTGCTTCGCCTTCTATTTCTAAATATCTTTCATGAATTCTGACATTTCAATAAATCTTCCAACTAAGAGAAAAAGTAGTACCTACATCAGCAATAAGTTCTAGTTAAGTACCATAATGTACAGCTATGTAAATCAATACTGTGACATATTGCAACAATGGGAGCTACTTGAAACGAACTAGTCTTGTAAACATTCAGTTTTTTTGACAGTAAAAAGGATTCTTGGCTATGTGCACATATACATACGGAACACATGCCGGATCATTCTGTTTTGCGAAAATAAAGAACCAAATTTTCTTTACACTAGAGTATTTTTTAAATTTTGTATTTAAAAAATTGTTTAGATTAATTATTCCTATATTTATGTCTATAGAACTTTTTATAGTTTAGTAATTGCTCGAAACAATAAGAAAATGTATTATTATCCAACTTGAGTAAGTAAAGAAATAGTTTTCTTTAACGGAGATTAAAGATACGAATTATACTGATGCATGATTACCAGTTATACAAGAAAATATTATTATATAATTAAATACTGCATGGAAGAGATAAAATAGACAAAAATCTTGTTAATTATATAAGATTATTACGGTAGTCACTCAAAAACTGATT